TGAGAAGTGGGTGGGAGTGATAAGAAAACATTGATTTGTTTATTGCTTGGATTTCTGTTAAAGAGACATGCTGTGCTCAGATATCATCCATACTTATTTTAAATCTGTATCTTCTATCTTTGTGAACAAAACCTATAAAATTAATGTGCGGTTCCAAGCTGTAGGAACTCTAGGCCCGCATGCTGCTGATGAAAGCCGGTGGACCGGAGGGGAGCCGAGCTGTGACGGTGGCCACAGTTCGCATCTAGACATGCGGCTGCCTTTCTGCCGGACCGGAGTTCTTGTTCTTTTGAACACATGCACCTGCAGGGCCGTCCCATGGAGCAGCAGGCCTGAAATGCTGCCGGGTGAAACCCTGGAGCCGTGCACACCTTCTCACTGTCTCTCAGCGCTCTTGAAACGTGGCGGTGCTGTTCATTCCATGATTGCTTTCCATTAATTATTCCTTTTTTAAAAAATTTAATTCGGTAGAGACTTATGTTGCAGGGTTTGACTGTATCTTCTTCTGGTAGGAATGTGGGATTGGTCACCAGTGAAGCCTCTAGAAAAAGCATTAAGAGCCATACATGGATCTTTAGCTGTTGCTCTTGGAAGACTGAAACCTAAGTTAGGTTGGTTTCTTTCGGCGCTGTACCATTTGCTGCACGACTCACAGAAGGTGGAGATCTTTAAAATTTTGAGCAATAGGAAATCAAGATCCACAGTTTAACATGGTAGACTTGTTTATGGAGAAGGGCAGTGGTAGGGTTCCTGAGGTCTTGGAACACGTGAAGTCCAACATTATGTTGAGGTTTCAGGATTCCCTGCTGAAGATCACTTCCAGTGTGGTGGTGGATCACAGATCATCTCATTTACAGTCCATCATAAGCCTATGATTAGGCAGCATTCTTTCCGTTTTACAGATAAAGTAATGGATTTATAGATCAATTGTTGAATCCCAGGTTTTAGAATAAATTTAAACAGTATCACTAAATAAAATATATATATTTCTATTGATTTCAGAGAGAGGAAGGGAGAGGGAGAGAGAGAGATAGAAATATGAATGATGAGAGTCATTGATCAGCTGCCTCCTACACACCCCCGACTGGGGATCAAACCCACAACCTGGGCATGTGCCCTGACCGGGAATTGAAGCGTGATCTCCTGGTCCTAGGTTGATGCTCAACCGCAGAGCCGTGCCCAGCCAGGCAGTGATAGTGGATTTTTAAAAAATTTCCCTTGGGCCTGTATTTTTAAATTTTTTTAATCATTTTTTTCAATTATAGTTAACATACAGTATTATATTAGTTTCAGTTGTACACCCAGTGATTAGATATCATATAGCTTACTAAGTGATCATCCTGATAACTCTAGTACCCACCTGACACCATATGTACTTATTAGAATACTGTTGACTATATTCCCTGTGCTGTACTTTACATCCCCATGACTATTCTGTAACAACCTATTTGTGCTTCGTAATCCCTTCACCTTTTTCACCTCTCCCCCAATCCCCCTCCCATCTGGCAACCATGAAAATATTCTCTGTATTGCCTAGCAAGTTTGGCTTAGTGGTTAGAGCATCGGTCCCGGGACTAAAGGGTCCCAGATTCAGTTCTGGCCAAGGGCACATATCTTGGTTTCAGGCCCCAGTCGGGAGGTAACCAATCAATGTGTCCCTCTCTCATCGATGTCTCTCTCTCTCTCTCCCCCCCCTTCCCACTCTCTCTCAAAAGCAATGGAAAAAATATATATATATAGTCTCTATCTATGAGTCTGTTTCTGTTCTGCATGTTGTCATTTTACTGTTCATATTTTTTATCTTCTTCTCCTTCTTCTTAAAGAAGACCCTTGAACATTTCATGTGATACTGGTTTGGTGCTGATGAACTGCTTTAGCTTTTCTTTGTCTGGGAAGCTCTTTATATGTTCTTCAGTTCTAAATGATAACTATGCTGGGTAACATAAGCTTGGTTGTAGGCCCTTACTTGTCATCACATTGAATATTACTTGGCAGTTCTTTCTGGCTTGCCAATTCCTTTTTGTTAGAAATCAGCAGACAGTCATATGGGAGCTCCCTTATAGGTAACTAGCTGCTTTTTTGCTCTTGCTGCTTTTAAGATTCTCTCTTTGTCTTTAACCTTTTGCATTTTAATTATGATGTGCCGTTGTGTGGGCCTCTTTGGGTTCCTCTTGTTTGAGACTCTCTATACTTCCTGTACTTGTATGTGTATTTCCTTCACCAGGTTATAGATATTTTTAGTCAAATAGATTTTCAATTTCTTGCTCTCCCTCTTCTCCTTTTGGTTCCCCCATGATGCTAATGTTGTTATGCTTGAAGTTTTCCCAGAGGCCCCTTTACACTAGCTTTATTTTTTTGGATTAGTTTTTTTCTTTTTGCTGTTCTGATTGGGTGTTTTTTGCTTCCTTATACTCCAAGTCACTGATTTGATTTTTGGCTTCATGTACCCTAATGTTGATTCCCTGTGAATTTTTCTTCATTTTAGTTAGTGTATCCTTCATTTCTTTTTTTAACGATTTCCATGTCCTGATTTATGTTGTTGGAGTTCTCTCTAAGCTCCTCTACTCTTCCCCTGATTTCACTGAGCACCCTTGTAACCAGTGTTTAAACTCTGCACCTGGTAGGTTGCTTGTCTCCATTTTGTTTAGTTCTTTTTCTGGAGTCTTGTTCTGTTCTTTCATCTGGGACGTGTTTCTTTGACTCCTCATTTTGGCACCCTCCCTGTGTTTGTTTCTATGTATTAGGTAGAGCTGCTACATCTCCCAGGCTTGGTAGAGCGGCCTAATGTAGTAGGTGTCCTGTAGGGCCCAGTGGCACCGCTTCCCCAATCACCCAAGCTGGGCACTCCAGGTGCCCCTGCCCCCACTGTGTGGACTGTGTACACCCTTCTGTTGTAGCTGAGCCTTGATTGCTGTTGGCACATCAAGGAAAGTGATTTAACCCCAGACTGATTGGCTGCAAGGACTGGCTGTGACCACTGACCACTGTGGAGGATCAGCTGAGCAGCGGCCCTCCCCACAGAGCACAGCTTCCTTCAGCAGGGCTCTAGTACCTACTGAGTCCACCCCTTGAGTGTGTCACTGTGGAGGTGGTTCGGTGGTGGTACTTGTATGTCATCTAAAGCTGTGCACCAGGTGTGCTGGCTCTGGGGCCTCCTGGGAGGTGCAGGCCAAGTCAGCCATCACCTCTGTTCTGCCCAGAGCCACCCACCTTGAGTTATAAAGTGATCTACAAACAAACGGCTGCTACTTGTGCTGGGCTTGGAGATGACCAGGAGAGGCCAAGCTGCAAACCATGGCTGGCTGCTGCTAGTGCCTGGCCTAGGGCCACTTAGTGATAGGTACAGAGCTCACTGAAGCCAGATGCTGCTTGTTTGAGAGACTTTAGGAAGGTCTGAAGCGAGAGCCAAGACAGGCCATTCAGATGGGCTTGAAAGTTGGGTGGGGTCTCAGGGAATCACCAGGGCAGGGCAAACTGTGATAGCCAGGTTGATGGAGACTCAGATATGGTGCCTGTCTGCTCTGTGGGGGAAGGACTCAGCAAAGGAACAATGGCCTCTGCCAGCAGTTCTGTCTGGAAGAAAGCTGTCTCCCAGCTCTCATCCTGATACCAAACAGTTCAGTTCCTCCCCATATGTCCCTGGGGCTTTTTGAGCAGCTATTCCAGTGCTGGAGCTCAGAGGGAAGAAGTCAAAGTGAGTCTATGTGCAGGCCTTTTAGGAGGAACTTCCTGGGACTCTAGCAGCCTCAGCCTCCCTCCTCAACCCATGCTGATTTTCACAACCAGAAATTATAGGGTCTTCTCTTCCCAGCACTGGCACCCTGGGCTTGGGGGCCTGGTGTGGGGCTGATACCCTTCACACTTGAGGGGGGACCTCCACAGCCGAGTCATCCCTCTCAATGTTTATCCACCACACCTGGCTGTGGGACCAGCCTGTTCTGTTTCTCTTCTCCCCCCGCCAGTCTTGATGTGTCTTCTTCTTTAAATCCCTAGTTGTAGGACTTCCATTCAGCCAGATTTCAGGGGGTTCTGACTGATGGTTGTGCTGTAGATTAGTTGTAATTTTGATATGGTTGTAGGAGGATGCAAGCACCACATTTACCTATGCTGCCATCTTGACCAGAAGTCCATTAATGATTCTTGATTATTTTGCTTTGTGATGTCACCAAATTGATAAAGTTTTCATTTTGTTGTTAAGAAATTTTGTTCTGTTTTGGGGGTAAACATCTGTCTTTAAAAGACTTTTCTTTCTCTTCTATCCATGATACGAAGGTAAGTTAAACAATGCTTTTTGAACTCCTAAGTGTACTACAGTAAGGTTATTTGCCACAGATACTCTTCAGTATCTTGTTCCTCTAAATTGCAGTCCGAGGACCTGAGAATCACCCTGGATGTTAAAGATAAAGATGCCTAAAGCAGGTTCTCTGCTAAGTCCGCCAGGCATCCACACGGAGATGTTCCCCACGTCACTGATGCACATTAACGTTTGAGAACCACCACTCTGGTGGCAAGAGTATTGTATTGAATTCATGGTTGGTTTCTAGCTGTATGTGTTAAAGTATATAAACAGGGAGACTATTAGACTGGGTGGCTCTGATGCCTTGGCAGCCACATGAGTAAGCCAGAGCCTGAGCCAGACTCCTCCACTCGAATCCAGGAAAATGAAACGTAAGAACAACCAGTCACAGCCAACTGGCTTGGCTTTCCCAAATAAGGCAACTGCATAACCTGTAGCCAATCAGTTCATTTCTTTACTTCACTTCCGTGTCTACTTTATAAGAACCTTGCCCCTAGCTCTTAGTGGAGCACTCCTAACAATCTTTGGTTTAACCTGCTCCATTCAAATAGAAGTATGATCAAATAAATTCTTCTTAAAAAAAAAATAATGTGCCTCAGTTTACGTTTTAACAATGTCTGTACCCAATTATGTGCATTTGATAACATGACATTTCCCAGCGGCAGCTGGCTGCAGCTCTAACCCGGATTTGCCTTCTCTCCAGGCTATGTGGCTGATGCTGCAGACTGATGAGCCAGAGGATTTTGTCATAGCTACTGGGGAAGTCCACAGTGTCCGGGAGTTTGTAGAGAAGTCTTTTTTGCACATTGGAAAAACCATTGTGTAAGTATAATGAGAGCTGGTTCCTGGTCGCTCACAGACGTGCTGGCAGGGTCGCGTGCGCCTGCTGTTCTGCCCAGTCCTGTCCCCTCTTCCTCTGGTGTAAAGCGCTGCAGGCGGTTTCAGCCTGGAGCAGGGGCTTTCTCACTCACTGCATCCAGCTTCAGTATATTTTATGGGAGTGTTTATCACCATCCAAACAGTCTTTTTAAAATTTCTTTTGTCTTTTTTATTTTTTAATTTTTTTTACTTTTTGAAAGGTTTTAAGTCTTTTATTATGGTTTATATGTGGTGTACTATGATTTTACTGTAGCTAATTGTACTCTTACCAGTCAATATGGTAACGTTACACAATCTTTTTTAATACTTTCAATTTATATTTTAAAATTGTGAAACCATTGAAAACTTACTGAAAAGTTTCAACTGCATTACAAACAATCTTCTTTTTTCTGAACCATAGAGAGTAGGTTGCCATCCTGATGCCCCATCACCCAGGACTTCTGTGTGTATTCCCTGAAAACACAGACATTTTTTCACATAAACGCAGTGCAAACATCAATATCCAGAAATTCACCATGACAAACGGCTACCATCTAATCATCGGCTCTGACTGGAGTTTTGCCAGTTGAGTGAAAGCTCTACTGTACAGGGTTGGGCCAAAGTAGGTTTACATTTGTGGGTACACAAAACACAGAGTTTATTCTTGTATTCTTATTTCTTAATTATTGTATGGTTTTCCATACAAACAACTATAAACCTACTTTTGCCACACCCTGCATATGAAAATGATCTGGTTTATACTCATACATTCACTTTTGCATTAGAAAATTTTGAAGCAGATTTTTATTGGAATAGTTGAAAGATTTCTGGGAAATCATTATACATGGAAGATTGGAAGATTCTTTTTTGGGAATTTTTTTACTATGGTAAAAAATGTATATAACAAAATTTACAATTTTAAACATTTTTATTTTATTTTTTTATAAATGTTTTATTTTTATTACACTTGCAATTCAATATTATATTAGTTTCAGGTGTACAGCGTAGTGATTAGACATTTATATAATTTATGAAGTGATCTGGATAAGTCTAGTGCACGTCTGATATGATATTGTTGTTACATTATTATTGATTAAGTTCCCTATGCATACCTTGCATCTCGGGGACTGTTTTCATAACTGACAATGTGTATTTCTCAACCCTCTCACCTTTTCACCCATCCCTCCAGCCTCCCCCCTCTGGCGACCCTCACTTTGTTCTCTGTATCAGTGAGTGTTCGTTTATCTTGTTTATTTGTTTAATTTGTTCTTTGGATTCCACATATAAATGAACTTACGTGGTGTTTGTCTTCCTCTGTCTGACTTACCTCATGTAGCACGATACCCTCTAGTCCGTCTATGTAGTCACAGGTGGTAAGATCTCACTTTTCAGGGCTAATATTCCAGTGTATAGAATGCACCGCCTCTTTATTCAGTCCTCTATCAGTGGGCACTTAAGTTGTTCCCATACCTTGGCTATGGTAAATAATGCTGCACTGAACACAGGGGTGCATATCCCTTTTCGAATTAATGTCTTGGATTTCTTTAGATAAATACCCAGAAGTGGAATTGCTGGGTCATGTGTTAGTTCTATTTTTAATTTTTTGAGGGACCACTCTGCTGTTTCCCATGCAGGCTGCCCCAGTCTGCATCCCACCGACAGTGCAGGAAGGTTCCCATTTCTCCACACCCTCGCCAGCACTTGCTGTTTGTTGATTATTGATGGCAGCCATTCTGACATGTTAGGTGATATCTCACTGTGGTTTTAATATCATTTCTTTTATGATTAGTAACACTGAGCATCTTTTTCATATGTATGTCCTCTTTGGAGAAGTGTCTGTTCAGGTCCTCTGCCCGGTTTTTAATCAAGGATTTTAAAAAAGAGAGAGAGAGAGAGTACCTACCTCAGAGCTGTGGTGTGAAGACGAAGTGGGTTGACGTAAGTGACGCGCCTAACAGCGCCTCATGCCCCTGCACCCTGTGTAAGTGTTTGCTGTCACTGAAGTGGGTAACTGGTTGAAAATACCATTTGTCAACAGTGAATAAAAGGGACAAGTAAAATGCAGACACAATAAGACTGGGCAACTGATTATATCTGGGGGACAATAAAAAGTAAAGAAGGTCACACTAATGTGTGAGCAGAGGCGTTAACAGCCACTTAGCAGAAAGGGAGCTGCAGGAGGAGCCAGCGTGCTCTGCTGCCCTGAGACGGGTCGTGGGTCTAAGGAACAGCTGTCTCCAGCACCTGACCCCTCCTGAGCAGTAAGTGGCCGTTTCTCAGAATTATAACACCTTCTCCTGAGTCTCTCTCCTGTAGAGCGTGCTTCTCAGACTCTCATTTTCTGTGGCTCACTTGGGGATCTTGTCAAAATGCAGATTTGGAATCAGTAGATCTGGGTGGGGCCTGAGACTCTGAATTTCTAACAAGACACCGAGTTGTCCATGGATCACGCTGCTGGTCCATGGATCACGCTGAGAGGCAAGGCCTGAGAGAATTGTAGAGCCTCCAGTTTAGAGTGAACCTTGGCAGTGGCCATGTCCTAGCCCTTGTCACTTTGACCTTGATTTTAGTCACCTGTAACTTTACCTTCCCTGGTGGGCTAGACAGCTCCCAAAGGGCAGACTCTGGTTCTGGCTGATTTCTGTGCCTTTCATTCTGCCCAGTGCAGACACACATTTGGTTTAAAAATCAATATTTTACTGCATCAAAAATGAAAAAGTAATTTTTGGAAGCAGGAGAATTTGATTGTGGAGGTGGTTGCAGGAGGGTAATTTCTAAAAAATGTAAAGACAAAAACTGCAGGGTTTCCCATGAGAACAGGTCAGTACCTGTAACGAGTTCAGTTCATTTTCCTCCTCTCTCCTTTTTCCTCGCCTCTCCAGTACTCATAAGATCATCTACATGCTAGTTGAATTTAATTACGATTGGATTGAATTTATCATCTGACAAAGTGAGGTAAAAAGAGTTCTCTGGACTTTCAATTTCTGCCATTAGTGAATTCGGGAATGCCTCAGAGCAGATGCAGAGCTCAAAACAGCAGGGGTCATAGAACCTACCTTTTTCCTTTAATATGGTTTGAAGGAGATAAACCAAAAGACGTCTGGAATCTCCAAAGTATAAAGCCAGAGTTTCTGGAAATGGCTTCTGGTTCAACCATGACTAAACTGATCTCTAATCTAAGATATTATCTTTGGTAATATAAGTCACCTCACACCAAAAAAAACTATTAGAAACAATAAACAAATACAGTAAAGTTGCAGAATATAAGATTGATGTACAAAAATCCACTGCCTTCCTATATACCAACAACGAAACTTCAGAAAAAGAAATGAAAACAACAATTCATTTTACAATTGCAACCAAAAGAATAAAATACCTAGGAATGTGTTTAACAAAGGATGTGAAAGACCTATATACTGAAAATCACAAAGCATTATTAAAAGAGACTGAAAAAGACACAACAAAATGGGAAAATATTCCATGTTCATGGATTGGAAGAATCAACATAGTTAAAATGGCCATATTTCCCAAAGCAATATTCAGAATTAATGCAATCCCCATCAAATGCCAATGTCATTTTTTAAAGAAATAGAACAAAAAATCATCAGATTTGTATGGAACCACAAAAGACCCCGAAGAGCCAGAGTAATTCTGAGAAAAAGGAACAAAGCTGGAGGTATCACACTACCTGGCTTTAAATTATACTACAGAGCTCCGAGAATCAAAACAGCGTGGGATTGGCACAGAGACAGACACACAGAGCAGTGGACAGAATGGAGAGCCCAGATATAACACCACATGGATATGGACAATTTTTGACAAAGGCGCCAGTAACACACAACAGAGAAAAGAACTCATCTTCAGTAAACGGTGCTGGGAAACCTGGAAAGCCACGTGCAAAAGACTGAAACTGGGTTACAGTTTGTCCGCATGTATAAAAATTAATGCAAAATGGATCAAAGACCGAAATGTGAGACCTGAAACAATAAGTTACATAGACGAAAACATAGGCACCAAACTTATGGACATTGGTCGTAGAGAACATTTTATGAACTTGACCCCAAAGGCAAGGGGAGTAAAGGCAAAACTAAATGAATGGGACTGAATCAAACTAAAACACTTCTGCTCAGCAAAAGGAACTGACAACCAAACAAAGAGGCAGCCAATGGAATGGGAGATGGTATTTGCAAACAGCTCTGATAAGAGGTTAATATCTAAAATATATGAAGAACTCATACAACTCAACACCAAACAAACAACCCAATCAAAAAGTGGGCAGAGGACCTGAACAGACACCTCTCCCCAGACGACAAACAGCCAATAGATATATGAAAATATGCTCAACCTCACTAGCAATTAGGGAAATGCCAATAAAAACCACAATGAGATCCCACCTCACGCCTGTTAGAGAGGCTGTTATCAGCAAGACAAGCAATAGGAAGTGCTGGGGAGGCTGTGGAGAAAGGAGCCTCACTCACTGCTGTGGGAATGGAGACTGGTACGGCCACTGTGGAAAGCAGTCTGGGATTCCTCAAAAAACTAAGACTTGAGCTACCATACAACCCAGCAATCCCTCTCCTGGGCATATACCCCAAAAACTTGAAAACATGTATTCACAAAGACATGTGCACCCCTATGTTCAGTGCAGCATTATTCATGGAGGCCCAGACATGGAGACCGCCAAAGTGCCCTGCGACAGAGGACTGGATAGAGAAGCTGTGGGCCGTGCACAGTGGAATAGTACTCAGCCATGAGAAAGGATGGAACACTGCCATTTGCGACAACATGGGTGGACCTTGTAGATACTATGCTAAATGAAATAAATCAGTCAGAAAAAGCTAAGAACCATATGAGTTCACTCATATGTGGGATATAAAACTGGAACTGGTGGACACAGCAGTGTGGTGGCTGCCAGAGGGAAGGGGATAGGAGGGGGTGGGGAGTAGATGGAAGCAAACAGGTGA